TACTCAAGCCGTATGGTGATCTGACTTTGTCTGCTTGCGATCTAAGGCCCCATTATGTATTTCTTAAAATCACATTTCATATTCACATTTATTAAGTCAATCCGTGATCGATTGCTATTTATGATACTTTCCAAATATAGCTTTTGGCATGATTTCAAGCCACAATATGGCTGATATATTGCCGACCTGACTTTAACTTTTAAGTCGCTTAGGGGCGGTGGGTTAGCCTTGTGGTTAAAGTATTCACTCGTTACGCCGAAGACCCGGGTTCTATTCCCCACATAGCAACAATATGTGAAGCCCATTTATGATGTCCCTCACCGTTATATTGATAGAATATTGCAAAAAGAGGTACAAAACCATACTCACTCACTAGAATATGTATTAATAAAATATTGTTTGCCTTGAAATGAAGAGCCGGGCAACTGTTTTCAACACATGCTACATGTCAAGCAGACAAAATCTGCTTTTCTTGTTGGATAAATCCTGAGGCGAACCGTTTTGTGAAGAAAATGCAGACTGGTTTGTTTCAAAAACTCTCTCCTGGTCTTTGCATGTTAATAGTGCTGCTTTACAAGCTAAAAAGGTCCTATTTGGTGTCATTAAATCTCTAAAAATGCTTCAACCTCTTCCTTATGACTTGTTTTTCAAAAACATTTATTCAAAAATATCTCCAATTCTTTTATACGGTGCCGAGATTTGGGGTGTAGATACTTACAAAGAATTAGAGCAAATCCAGGTACTAGCATGTAAACGCTTTCTTGGGGTTAAACAATCTTCATCAAATCATGTGGTTAGGGGGAATGCGGTAGGTATCCTATGTACATATGTGCTTATAAGCGTGTAGTTACTTATTGGTACAGAATTTTACATTTGCCTGAAAATAGATTAGTTAAGAAATGTTACAGATTATTATTACTTGATGTTAATAATGGTAAGATCAACTGGGTCTCTAAAATCAAACACATTCTCTGTTCGTTTTGTTTTGGCTACATATGGGAGATGCAATTTAGTAATAATAGTAGAAGTTTTATCTTGGAATTTGTAAACCGTTTAAAAGCCTCGTCTGAGCAAGATTGGCATGCAGCTGTTTCATCTAGCACTAAATCCCAAAGTTACTCTCTTTACAAAGTTTCATTTGGCTTAGAAAGCTATATCAAGGTAGTAAATGTTTCAAAATTCAGAGCTGCACTTGCTCAGTTGAGATGCTCCTCCCATCGGCTGCGTATTGAGACCGGTCGATATATTAAGGAAATTAGAGAACAGAGACTGTGTATGATTTGTAACCAGAATTTTATTGAGGACGAATATCATTTTGTGCTTATATGCAATACTTATAGTGATTTAAGAGCTGAATACATTCCTCCTAAATATTTTACAACCCCTTCTAAAAATAAATTTAATGTTCTTTTGTCATCCACTAACTTTAAAATCATACGAAATCTAGCAGTCTACGTTTACGAAGCTTTTCGACTTCGGTCATTACATACAGTCTAAATATTTATGTGTTTATATGCATGCGTATGTGTATGAATGTGTATGGATATGGATATATATGTAAAATAGTGGTAATTCTTTTTTCTCCCTCTCTCTGTAAATAGTTCTGTGTAATAGGCCTACGGCCTAACACTTTTTGTGAATAAAACAATTACTATTATTGTCCCCTCTCAGAGCTCTTCCTGTGGTGTGAAATTACAGAACATTGGCGAGTTCTACTTTCCATTTCAGTGTCGAAGAGTGTGATAGGCTACTGGACTGGTGGGCACCTCGTTAATGGAAACTGGCTGTGGTTAGATGGTACACCCATCAATTACACCAGATGGGGTCCATTCGAACCAGATCACCCTTGGCGTCAGAAGAGCCTAGCCTACATGAAATGGTTCTCCTACCAGTGGGCATCACACAGGGCCTTTGGTAGCCAAGTGGGGTTAGGCTTCATATGTGAGAAGACCCTCTTATAATTTTCTTTGTTTGTTGTTAACTCGGCAATATGTCATATCTACAGGCATGAAGGCGACCTGTATGTTATCAAGTATCAAATGGTCGGTCTTCTACGATCAGAAGGAGTTGCTGGGAACCTATTCTAGTTAAAGCTTAGGAATAAACACTATGTATTCAGCTCGCGAAATACAACGTATATTCCAAATACAGGATATTTAACATCCCCAAACACACAAGCATAATAACCCCTCTCTCTCTCTTCCCCCCTCTTTATATATGTATATAACAATGATTGTAACTGTGCTTCATTGTTTCTGTTGAGACTCGATTGACGCTCGTTTGGATAGTGATCAGTCATCAGGAAGTTATTATATTTAGATGCAAGTGTGGTCCGGTGGACTGCGGACGGTGATAGTATGTTATAGAAACATCTGGAATGTTCCAGTACCGCTAGACGGGTGAGGGCACTCTGTAGAAATTTCCAGTAGCTTGTTTGACTGTATTTTTAGTGGGACAAGAGCGTGTTTATGTATCACTCACACATTTCATCACATCGGAACCAGCTTCAATCCCCCTACAATCATTGCCTTGCCCGTTTCGGAAGCTTGACCTCTGTCGATGCTGGGTAAATATGCTGATTTGCAAACTTAGTTAATTTTGTAATACATTTGTTGTGTGTATGCCACGTGTTGGTTGTTTGTTGGTTCATTTAACTAGTGAATTCTGGATGAAGATACTGTTTCAATTTGGGAATCGACACGTCACAATATATCATTGGTAACAATAGAATTTCTACGGTTGCGAATGTGCCCAAAATGGTTATGTTAAGGAGAACTTGCACAACAGTCTGTTCCTGAAAGTACTATGAGCAAAATCATACTTTTCGAATTTGATAACATCTTTTTAAGAAAAATATTTGAAACATGAACCTAATGTCTTTGTTGTCGAAAATGTGCATGACGCAGCTGCACGTGGAATGTTCTCTGCAGTAAATGCATGTGCGTCAATCTTCCAAGCGAGCTGATCTTTACAATACACGGTGGAACCGTAGCGATTATTCTATTGACCACTTACACATATTGAGAACAAACTCGTAGTAATCACATTCTTCTTCTGTAAGATTTTCTCATCAAAATGTTATCTATTAATTTTACTATAACATGAAAATCGCTAAAGCTAACAAAATGCAATACAATAGTAGTATGGTAATTGTCTGAACCTTTAAGGAATATACAAATACTGACGGTAAGGTGGTTAGTATAGTTGTTAAAGCGTGTGTTCGTCACGATAATGACCCGGGTTCGATTAAACCGGTGTCGGCCTCAAGAGGTTTTACTGCAATATTGCTACGAGTAACCTAACACCTTGCCCTAAACACACCCACTACATTCATCCCATCCTCAAGTTGCCGTCTCCCGCACCACTCCATTTTAGCACCACTCCATTATACCGTTTGTTACTAGCTCCAAGACAGTTTTCAGGTTTGTCAGCAGCATACCTGTGGTCGTGACACTTCTGGAATACGGTCAAAGCAGGGTTAATATAACTCACTCACTTATTATATGACGGTGGCCTGAAATCAGTAGAGATTATGAGAGAAAGGCGACAGAGAACCTCACAGTAGATTATTCATAGTGGACCACACTTTAAGACGACGTATCAGGAATGAAAAAGAAATCCCAGTTCATTTAATAGGCGCCGAGCTTGATTATTATAGAAGTGGTGTGTGTTTTCCTCCCTTTAATTGAAGTGAAACAATATTCAAAATTGTAGCGAAAGGACAAAGGACATACGTTTCATAAGATATAATACACAGTTCTACATTGTAATACAAAGACAACACTGATGGGGTGACGGGTATGATTTTAAAGGTGGTGAGGTGAGGTGAAATGGGGTTTAACGTCGCATCCAAGATTATTGAACTTATATAGCGACGTGCATGTACGTGTGTGTGGTTGTGTGGCTGCTTGTACTAGTCCGGACTGATGCCGATTTATAGTGCTAGCTCACTGAGATACCATGCCACAGTTTAACATGAATACCCCACCCAGACACAGTATACTGACTCCGAGCCGACCAGTCCTTGTTTTAGCCCCTTGATGCCGAGCGCCAGACAGGGTAACAAGAAGTACCATCTTTTAACGTCTTTTGGTATGACGTGGCCGGGGATTGAACCCCGGACCTTCCGCTCTCCGGGCTGATTTTAAAGGCAAACCAATATATTTTAGCTAGATTCAACAATGCATAACATACAGAATTGATAAAAGTGACAAAAGATGTTAGTTCACGAGTACTGAGGGTGAATATACTGTTTTCCTAAATCTGTGGATGCTGTATATACATGTACAAAATAAAACAGTAGCAGAACAGTTTGTTTGTTGTTTAACGCCGCACTCAGCAATATTCCAGCTATATGACGGTGGTCTGTAAAAATCCAGTCTGGACTAGACAATCAAGTGATTGACATCATGAGCATCGTCCACTCATTTTGGATCGATGGCATGCATCAACCAAGTCAGCGAGCCTGACCACCCGATCCCGTTAGTCGCCTCTTACGACAAGCAGAGTCGCCTTTATGGCAAGCATGGGTTGCTGAAGACCTATTCTACCCCGGATCTTCACGGGTCCATAGTCGACATTCTTTGTCAATGCAAGATCTACGTCCAAGTTCAATCATTAGATTGTGACCTCATGAAAATCTGGATAATGATTGCTTGTATATATATTCTTAGATTTACATGAGTAAATTAGTACTCAAAGTTTAAAAGAGATTCGTACGTGGAGTATGTTGTCAATTTTGTGTTGTTATTAATATCCATTTGCCATCGTTGATAGCTATTATCTATCACACGTTACTCTATTTCTGATAAAAAGGCCGATTTATTTCCACATAACCAAGTCCGTATCTAAAAAGAGTTGAGTCCAGTAAATTATACATTAAACATGTGTGGCAAAAAACAACCCACATACATGCTTGTACACACAAACGTCAGCATACCATCATATCACATAATCAAAAAACTATTAGATTGATGTAATTGTAAAAAAAACCACATATATAAATGTTAAATCTTTTTACTTTACAGTGAAAACAAGTGAATTGTGTAACAGCAAGGTTACTATCAGTAGATGTTTGAGCATTTCCAAAAAATGTGAATCATATCCTTTTATGCAGCACTACATATAACTACGAAGATTGCAATAGTTGCGACATGAAAAGAAGTAATGTCTAGGATTCTTAAAAGATTAGGTATTAGTGAGTGGGTGAGTATGGTTTTAAGCCGCTTTTAGCAATATCCCAGCAATATCAGGCGGGAGACACCAGAAATGGGCTTCACACATTGTACCCATGTCGGGAATCGAAAGAACAGGTATTAGAACCATGAATATGTCTGTGATAATTGTGTGCATCACTGCATCCCAAACTCAGTCACGGGCCCAATTTCACATTCTACAAGTTTTAATTATCTTCAATAACAGTTTCAATTAAATCATGACACATTTACACATGACGACTAGTGCGGCAGACCATGCTACTGTCCATGACACCATCCTCCTTCACCGTCTACACAAACACTCCACTGATGTCACTCAGCGTCATGGGACTCCACGGGATCCACCACTCGCTGATATCCCCAGTCTCGCCTTGTCGGCTGCTGTCTACCCACTGTTGTTCCTGGCGTCAAAACTGGACTGCGTCTCTAAGTCTCCTTCCCGACAGGCCCAAGGGAGGGTGTTGTCACCGTAATCGTCCAACACATCAGCACCTTTGCTCACAAGGAGTTCCACTATTTCTCTGTAAGCCCTCCCATACTGCCGACACCACCGATGTCCTGCTGCCCCCATCCTCTACTGTTGATGACCGCTACGTTCAAAGACAGGCCTAACTTCACTGTCTCCAGGTCTCCTCCATAACAGGTGGAAGGAAAAGAAGGATGGTGTTACCGTCATCGTCCACCAGTGGCATCGGCGCCTTAACTCACAAGGAGCTCCACCACTTCTCTGTGTCCCTAGTATGCTGCCTCCATCACTGGTGTTCTGCTGTACTCTTCAACTCTACAGTTGATGTTGACTTTACCTGCAGAAAGGATCCGCCTCACCTTCCCTCTGCGTCCCTTGTATGCTGCCTCCATCACTGGTGTTCTGCTATACTCCTCAACTCTACAGTTGATATTGACTTTACCTGCAGACAGTATCCGCCTCACCTTCTCCAGCCTCCCCCCCCCAGCTGGCGTCATAGAGGTTGAGGCAGTCTGTTGGTGATGGCATCGCTGTAAAACCAAGTACACTCTATACACACATCCTGACATCTTTGTCATACATGTAAACTGTCTGTTTACACCTCAAAGTCTTGATACGTGACACGAACACGGATACACCTTAAACATTTCCAACATGGCTGACAATTCAATTAAGGTACATGGTGACAGCTTGTTTCACGTAAACAAGGATTATGATGTTTGAAATTATTCTATTAATGCAGAGCTACAGATCAGCTGGTATTTGCGTGAAATACTCCCCCAAAATATTCAAAACCCAATTACTATCCATAATCCTGCGTACAAAAACACGTGCATTAAAGGAAAAACTCAAATGTATAAAAACAGCACGTGTAAATACCCAATAAACCTTTTTCAGCATGCGTACACCGGAGCTAATTTCCGAAACAGTTATGAGCTAATTTAATTTCTAAGTCAAGCCAATATATTTAGAACAGTTATATACAAGTAAAAAATTATTTCATTTTTTTAAATCTTAAAATGTTCACTAATTATGGGAAAAACCCAATAGAGTGATGAATGGATGAGTGATATTGGTTACACAAGGAAAAATGTTATAACCCAATCAAAATAAGAACCCTAGAGTACAAATTCAATTGCTCAAAAAGTTATCTGGAGCTCTGTTAATGGATGGAGAGTGTTAATGTTTGATCAACTGAGCTTCAGAAGATGATGACATCAGTACAATTGCTGTTTGACATTATAATAGGATAATAGATATTACAATTACAGTCTGCTGGTGATGGAGTAAACACATCCCGACATCTTTGTCCTACATCTACATTGTTTACACCTCAAAGTGTTGACACGAACATGGATATACCAGTAACATTTCCAACATGGCTGACAACAATTCAGAGTGAGTGAGTGAGTATGGTTTTACGCCGCTTTTAGCAATATTCCAGCAATATCACGGCGGGGGACACCACAAAAGGGCTTCACACATTGTACCCATGTCGGGAATCGAACCCGGGTCTTCGGCGTGACGAGCTAACGCTTTAACCACTAGGCTACCTGACCACCCCCCCAATAGGATAAAAGATATTACATTGCTTTATGTCAGCCTGTTTTGTTTGTTTTACTCATTATTGTTCACTTGTTTAAAATTAATAAGATAATAAGAGGCTACATTTATCAGCTTGTTAATGTAGGAACTGTTCATATGAAGGTTTGTGGAGTGAACTTTCTGGCTGATATTTGTTACATGATGATGTGACCACGTGTCCACAGTTGTACAGTGATACTATCTACCACCTGGGTTCTCCCACTTACCCTGTAGGTCAGACTTGTGTTGTCACTGGGATTTCTGTAACCCTCTCGCTTGGGCTCGGATCCTGACTCGGGTTACTCGAGGCTGAAACAAAGAATATGCTGTTCAGTCAGTGAGTTGGGTTTTACATATTCCAGCAATATTCCAGCAATATCAGGCCGGGGGACACCAGGCATGGGCTTCACACATTGTACACATTTGGGGAATCAATCTCGGATTTTCGGTGTGAAGAGCAAATGTTTTAACCACTAGGCTACCCAGCATTAGAAATTGGCACTAGTCCTTACCAAACTGCCCAATAGTAAAGGTATCCTAAGGACTAGTAGAAATTGGCCCATTTTAAGGGTTTTGCTACATGTTATCATTATAGTGGACTAGTGGACAAAAACGGTTAGTTTCTAACCTTGGGCTACCCCGTCACCCCCATATATGCTGTTCAGAAAACTATATAATGCAGGTAAGCATTATAACTACTGGATACAGATATAAGTTTTGCCTTTCGACAAATGTGTGCCTTATAAATTTACCTACTTTATCCCCTGCTACCTCAGGTTTTACAATCTCTACCAAAACCAAGGAGGAGTGTTTGATCTGACTTAAAAACCGTCTTACAAATAATGTACTTTTGATCATGGAAAAACAAACAATGACTGAGAGGTGTAACATTTAATACAATCCATTTATCTTCGTTTAGTCACTCTGTGAGAGCCCCTAGCCTTTACTACCAGTCTTTCTTGTCTCACAGGCACGGAGACAATCACATTCATGTTAATTAACCCGAAATATTCTTTATGCTCCAAAGTTGGACGTTGAAGTTTCATGACATGATACGTCATAACTCGAGTGGAAGAAGAGTGAGATGCTTGACACCAGGTGTCGGTATAGTTGTCAGCAATAAGACAACCTGGGGGTGTTAACCTGAGTGAGTGAGTGAGTGAGTTGGGTTTAACGCTGCTTTTAACAGTATTCCAGTTATATCACCGCGTGTCAGCTTAATGTGGGAGGAAAGCCCGAAGTGATCAGGTCTCAGACGTTTACCACTTCGGTGAAACCCACGAGCACGGGTATGGTGCTGACAAACCTAGAAACATAATTTGGGCGAACCGGGATTCGAACCCATAATCATAGGTTTCTGGCATGCCCAAGGGACGCAACTCTGCACAGCGAATCGCGGCGCCTCAGACGACTGGGCCCCCGTGCCCCTGGGGTGTTAACGAGTGAGTGAGCGAGTAAGTATGGTTTAACGCCGCTTTTAGCAATATTCCAGCAATATCACGGCGGGGGACACCACAAATGGGCTTCACACATTGTACCCATGTCATGAATCGAACCCTGGTCTTCGGCGTGACGAGGGAACGCTTTAACCACTAGGCTACCCGCCCGCCCCGGGGTGGTAACGAAGCACAGGGCTGGTGTATCATGTCTAATGTATAGTGTCAGAGGTGTTAATGACGCTTCCTGTCACGTCATTCCTGCTAGAAAACCAGGACAACAATTAATGACAGCTTGTTCATGCAATTAAGGATTATGTATTTAATGTTTTAAATCTTTCGTTCACAATTACTTCCAGTAGTTGTAGCTTATTCCATGTACGGCTAAAGAGTGTTAACGTTGGATGAACAGAGCTTCACAAAATGATTACGTCAGTACCATAGCTGTTTGATATTACAAAGCTTAAAAGAATATAAGAATTGGTTCTCAGGAAATGGCTTTTGAAAACACAGTGCGAGCAGGTGTCCTTTTCTTCTTCTTGTTGTTCAAACAAGTATGTAACCAAAAAAATCAGTTGTGTACAATCAACCCGGGAGAAGAGCCTCCCTTAATATGTATTCTTTGAAGAGTAAAATACAGGAATACAATATTTGACTACTGTTGGACAACCAGTGTGTGCTAATACACATATACCATGAGCTTTGATATTATTCCACAAGTTGAAGTTATTATCGTGACTCGAACATTGGAAGAAGTATGTCAACACATCCTTACTGAAGTACGCAAGTTCGTCCCGTTATAACACTATCTGGCTATAAAAGTGTTCATTGTGTATCTGGACTTATGTTTGTAATCCATTATATTACTTTTATCCAAGATTTCATTAATTTTGTTCACATTAATTTCAGTGAAATTGTGTCTGAAGTGATTGGCAATGACATCAACTCACCTTGAAACATTAGAGATACGAAGTTTCACATTACTTTCAATTGATTTGCGTACAGAAACGCATGCATTGAATGAAAAAATCAAATTATAAAAATAGCCCGCGTAAATACACAATGAAGCTTTTTCAGCAAGCGTACAGCAGAGCTAATTCACGAAACACAATTTTGAGCTTATTTAATATCTGAGTCAAACCATTATTTTGAACAGTCATATAATCTGCTGCAGGGTATGCTACGCGATGGTGGTCCCCCCATTTTGATGATCGCAGATGCGTCACTGTCTGGAGCTTGAAATGAACTCCTGTTAACAGCCACCCATGTTGAGGGGAAACGGCAGGTTCCATTCACCGGGGAGAAAATCGGTGCAGCAAACGACACAGAAAAATATGTTGTTTGCTTTGATAACAGTTATTGTAGCAAAACATGAAGCCCATCAAAATGTGGAATTTTAGGGGGGATGAAGACATTTCCATGTATCCGATCCCTGACTAGTTGGTAAATTCTATTTTGACACCAGTTATTGACAATGTACACGGAAAGAAAAAACCCGACACATTGGCGTTAGTAAATGAACAATCACAGAATGGAAAACAAAGTTTCTGTGGCGTATTTATGAAAATAATGGTGAAACGTTTTTGATGAGCTGTAGTTTGTGTCGCATTTAGGAAACGACACTGAAATTAACCAATGTGAGGGCTTACGATGGAACCAGGAATATTTGAAAGTCCAGTATTTACTAGACACAACGAAATGACTTTTGTTTTATTCTTTCATTTGAGATTTTAGGTATTTATTTTAGGTGAGTGAGTAAATAAATCAGATATATCCTGAATAAAATAATGCAGTTGCTAAGCAACACATTTTCAAACATGGTGACATTTTTTGCAATTACATGTCAGTGCCTGCAAGTTTCAATGCAACCCAATTCCACAACATTAATACAGAAATTTTATCCTGCAGTATACAGGGTACTGGCCTACTTGATATACTGAAATACAGTTGCAAGAGGCCTTTTTCCAAATTAATTAATACAATTTTAATTTTTTTTTCCATAGGTGTCGATAGGATCGAGGTGCGCCCTGATGCCAGTCAGGTAGAAGCGCCATACATCCGGGTGCGCCGTACGACGGGTGCACCGGCATCACTGCAACCATCACTGTGGAGGACCGGTACACTATTCACAATCGTGTCTGGCGACGTAATACGCAAAGTTGTAGTGAAAGTAGACTTGTACATACCGACAACCCACCTACGAGTTTGAAGTGTATTTAAATACAAACGTGAAACTCTTGATAATGCCAAAACGGCTTAAACTATTTACATATACACAATGTAACACCTCGCCAAGAATTGCATACGATAATGATTGCCTCGAATGTAGGAGACAAACATGTAATGCAATTACAAAATGGCAGGAATCAACGAGCCAGGTAGAAGAAAAAGCCTTTTCAAGTGGAATACACACATTTTTACTACACAAAAAGTGAACATATATGATAAGGTATACTTCACCTGTCGCAGATGAAATTTAACATTGCAGCAGAGTGATGATCACAAAATTAAGCCAGAAATTGTAGGACCACACGGGGGACAACATGTCTGTTTGGTGACAAGCAGGAATATGATCAGATGTGACATCACAAGGGACGGTCGCATGACAGCGGCCATTGGTCCTTGCAAAAAAAATAAAAATTGCGAGCCTGACCACCCAATCCCGTTAGTCGCCCCTTACGGCAAGCACAGTCGTCTTTTACGGCAAGCATGGGTTGCTGAAGATCTATTCTACCCCGGATCTTCACGTGAAAAGTAAACTGCAAACGGAACATTTTTTCTTCACCATGGACCATCGCAAGGTGCTGTTTTCTTTGTCATGAGGTAAGCAGTAGATGCAGTAATGCAGGATAAGTAAAAAAATTACATTCATCAGCTTGTTATTGTAGAGACTGTTCATATGACGGTTTGTGGAGTGAACTTTCTGGCTGATATTTGTTACATGACGAAGTGACCACATTTCCACAGTTGGACAGGGATACTATCTACCACCTGGGTTCTCCCACTTACCATGTAGATCAGACTCTTGCGTGGTCACTGGGTTCTGTGTAACCTTCTCGCTCTGGCTCGGATCCTGACTCGGGTCCCTCGAGGCTGAAATGAAGAATATGTTGTTCAGTCAGTGAGTTGGGTTTTACACCACTCTTCGCAAAATTCAGACTGGGGGACACCAGACATGGGCTTCAGACATTGTACTCATTTGGGGAATCGATCCCAGATTTTCGGTGTGAAGAGCGAACACTTTAACCACTAGGCTACCCCACAACCCCCATAAATGCTGTTTAGGAAACTAAATTTTGCAGGTAAGCATTATAACAACAGACAACAGAGTTTGGTTTGGGTTTGGTTTGTTGTTTAACACTGCACTCAGCAATATTCCAGCTATATGACTGCGGTCTGTAAATAATCGAGTCAGGACCAGACAATCCAGTGATTGACATCATGAACATCGATCCACGCTGTGACAAGTAGTCTCACTACTAGCAGCATTTGTGTATGACGTCATTTGTATAACGTCACTACTTTTCGGGTGTTCCGCCATCTTGCCTAGTAAGTAAAGTATGTCCACCAAACACTCACTGTTTGTGGTATCTTAATAGAACCCGAGGGGTCATGTCTTTTGTCTCAGACAGACATGAAGACCTAAACACAAGCAAATGGAATCGATGACATGCATCAACCAAGTCAGCGAGCCTGACCACCCGATCCAGTTAGTAGACTTTTACGACAAGCATAGTCGCCTTTTACAGCAAGCATGGGTTGCTGAAGACCTATTCTACCCCGGATCTTCACGGGTCTCTGACAACAGAGAAGTGGCATTCGACACGGTATGTGCCTTTCAAATTTATTCACTGATACGGTGGACTGACAAACGGCTTAAATTAATTAGATTTTGATTTAGATTGCTTTTAATCTACCCCACATGTTTTTAGTAAAAAAAAAACAAAACGCCTCCTGAATCCTCATGATAATAATCACTGGATTGTCTTGTCCAAACTCGATTATTTACAGACCGCCGTCATATAGCTGGAATATTGCTGGACGCGGGGTTAAACATCAAACCAAACCAAAAAACGGATTGCTTAAGTTTGAATTAGCCTAAGCTGCACACTGCCTTTGTGACAACCAGGTGAGCGGGGCTGTACAGGGTGTCTAGCCTTGCGTAAAGATATAATATAGGATAGTGCATTTCTGACACTCGTGGTGTTAATTATCAAGAAATATTTAAGCAACAACTAGGCTACTGTGGTTCGAAGGGATTGTGAAATCTAAAAGCTCAAATTGGCCTATACCTCTAGCATTAGGATAAACATTTTTTTCCGAAATCAATAGCTGTATTAATAGTGTTTTCACCTGTTGAGGAATTTTGATTCTTGTTCACATTTGGTTCCATGCCAGGATTCAGCCTGTCCCGCTTCGCTCCACTCCGTGCGTCTGAACTTCCCGCCGAAAAGGTCGTGTCGTCCACTCAAGCCGCTACAACGCCGCGTGTATCGCCAATATTGACCCTAACCTAACTTAAAGCTATATACTCTCCATTAGGTGGCACTTTCGAAGAAATGAGCGCCATTCTGCCTCGCCTGGCTGACATGCATTACGTGATGCACCAAGCAATTATTTACATGATGCACCAAGCAATTATTTACATGATGCGCCTATGCAAAATGTATCAAGAGTAGTCTCCCTTTGACCACGAATTAATATGTTGATGTTTGTTAAATTGTTTTAAATGCAGATGGGTCACTATCGAAATTTGTACCCCTTTTGGTACACTCCACGTGACAAAACGCACAACCAATGCACACAACCTTTCACAGAACATATAGCAAAGGCTTAACCTGTCTGCAAATCTAACACAACATATTTAGTTATGTTTTACTGTTGAAATGAATACAAAAACATTTTAGATACATTATGACCAAATGTTTCTGGAAAATGTTTCTAAAACGTTTCTGGAACCACACAAAATCACGTAAATAAAACATTTTTTAAAACATTGCCGGAACATTTAGTGAAATGTTTTAGGGATGTTTTAATTAACAACGTTTACATGCTTTTAATTTTTTTAATTTGAATTTTTACAAGATATACTGCTTTTCAATTGGACGAGAGGTCGGTCACCTGACCGCAAAATTGACGTTCATAAGTGTAGCATAGTCGCCTTTTACAGTAAGCATAGGTTGTATGGGAGTTCATTATATATATTGAAGACCTGTTCTAACCCGGATCGCCACCAATTGGAAGTCGGCGACAACTGTCAATATAATTTATACATGCATTTTGACGGTTGAGACTCTTTCATTGGTGATATGACTTGATGCATTGAATTTAAAGTTACACGACTATGTGATCGTGAGCAGACGGTGAGGTGAAATGGGGTTTAACGTCGCGTCCAAGATGATTGCACTTATATAGCGACGTGCATGTACGTGTATGTGTTTGTATGGCTGCTTGTACTAGTCCGGACTGATGCCGATTTATAGTGCTATCCCACTGAGATACCATGCCGCAGTTTAACATGAATACCCTACTCAGACACAGTATACTGACCCCGAGCCGACCAGTCCTTGTTTTAGACCCTTAATGCCGAGCGCCAGACAGGGTAACAACAAGTACCATCTTTTAACGTCTTTTGGTATGACGCGGCCGGGGATCGAACCCCGGACCTTCCGCTCTCCGGGCGGACGCTCTACCACTAGACCACGGAGGCGGTCCGTGAGAAGACGATGGTTAAAGGTTATAGCCTTGTCTTGACATATGTACCTCTTTACTTTCTTGCCATCCCTTACACATTTGAACAGCACACTTGATTTAATGTATATAGCATTCTCACTGGAAATCGTTTTGCTGAGTCAAATATACCTATTATGTCTTATGAAAATGATATCACCACAATTGTCACTCGCTAACATTACTTTTGAGTGTCCAGATCAGACATTTATTATCATTAATTGTAACCATTAATTTCCAGTTCTGACTTCGGCAATTACGAATTGAACGACTTGCTACTGATCTCATTAAAGTTTTATGTCAAGTACCACCATTCAACTTAATAAAACCCCACTCCCGTGATCCTTTTTTATTGAAACAATCAATTATTCAAATTATGGTCAACTTTCGTTAGCTTGTACATGCAAAACTCTGGCTTCGGAACTGTAAAGGTGTATAGTTTTCTCCCATCACAGTCACACGAAGATAAAGGGATGTTGCTTCTATCCAGCCAAGGGACCACTGTGACGGTGGTCCTACAAATGCTGGTCCTAATTGACTTGCGTGAGACAAGGAGATGGTTTGGGCCCAACATGTGTAAAGAGCTCTGCGAGGACACATTGGGGTGCTCGGAATATCTGTTCTCGAGCTGCCACCTCTCATGTAGGATACAGAACCGTGCTAGCTTATCCCACGGGGCAACGACACATGTCAACAACAAACAGGTATTTAGTTCATCCTTTCATTTGATGGATAGGGGATGTGGCGTAGCATTTGCTCGTCCCACAAAGAACCTAGCCATGGTTCATTTCATCACATGGTTCAATGTATGACTTAATTATCCATGTATTTCTGATGTTCTTTGCTGTGAGGTGGCTGGAACATCGACCAAAGCGACTGCTTTCACTAACAGAGTCTCTGTGAACAGCATTGCTGTTTGAATAGTTAGTGATTGATTGAGTCTGGTTTTACGCCGCTTTTAGCAATATTTCAGCAATATCAGGGTGGGGGACACCAGAAATGGGCTTCACACGTTGTATCCACGTCGGGAATCGAACCCGGATATCCGGGGTGACGAGCGAACGCTTTAACCCTTCTTCTCCCCCCCCCCCCCCCCCGGATTACCACGGATTATTAATCGAAATGGGTGTTATCTTACCCCCGGTTAAACGTTGGTCATGATGTCAATCACTGGCATATCTAGTCCAGTTTCAATTACTTTATAGCCGACGGTTTTTAGCTAAAATGTTACCGAGTGTGGTATTAAACACAACAAACAAACATGCAAACTTGTATTCAGATTTGCAGCAAGTCTCACATCGAAAATCACAGATGAGTTACAGAACCATCGGCTCCATGCATTTCTATAAAATGAAAATAACTATTTCCTTCAGACTGACACCAGAGTGTTAGCCTCACTGACCAGGACATGTGCCAAGTACTCCAGGATCTTCTACAGCAGAGCAGGCACTCTGTCCTGTGGCACAAGTGTTAACACTGGTAAGAGAACAGAATACATGCAAAAGCAAAGCTATATAGATTATATAAATACACAATCCGGTACAAGTTTTGGAAATCAAAGAAATGGGGTTTAACGTCTTGTCCAAGATTATTGCACTGATATAGCGACGTGCATGTACGTGTGTGTGTTTGTGTGGCTGCTTGTACTAGTCCGGACTGATGCCGATTTATAGTGCTAGCTCACTGAGATACGATGCCGCAGTTTAACATGAATACCCCACTCAGACACAGTATACTGACTCCGATTGATTGATATCATGAGCATCGATCCACGCAATTGAGATACAATGACATGCATTAAACAAGTCAGCGAGCCTGTCAACCCGATCCCGTTAGTCCCTCTTACGACAAGCATAGTCGCCTTTTACGGCAACATGGGTTGCTGAAGACCTATTCTACCCCGGATCTTCACGGGTCTTACACAGGGATTTCCGCACCTTTAACTAAAACAAGTAAATTGTATGACGTAACATGATATTCAACTTAAATTCGACGATTCGTAGATAGGACAGCCATTGGCGATGGTGGGATTGGTAGTGGTATCTTAGTTAAACGAAGTTATCCTTCATAATCATTGACCTGACCCAAGAATGACCTCTCAATTAAACGCTGATATTTTACCCAAGTATTTGTCCAGATGATTCGTCCAGATGCCCGAAGGTCAAACTCAGTCTCGATCGGCTTTGTTTGTAAGATTGAAATGAGTGAGTGAGTTTGGTTTTACGCCGCTTTTAGCAATATTCCAGCAATATCACGGCGGGGGACACCAGAAATGGGATTCACACAATGTACCCATGTCGGGAATCGAACCCGGGTCTTCGGCGTGACGAGCGAACGCTTAAACCCCTAGGCTACCCGACCGCCCCGTTAAGATTGAAAGAGGTATTTGTTCCAAACTATTATTTCTCTTTGTATTCATTTTCAGTCTCCGCTGGGGAACACCGAGTTGCGCATGCCATCTTACCACGCCTCCTAGCCATAGAGTACATGTCTCCTACAGAACAACCTTTCTACAAGTTCCATATGGACAACAAGTCCGTTGCTGTATATCCCAATCTCACTTCAAAGAAGGTTAAAGCCACAGGCTATTTGGGGGCCTTGAGGAGGGTAATATTGTCACTTTCAGACCCATACAGACTTTCCTACTTTACCTTAGGCGACAGCACTGTAGAGAAGATGAAATCAAACATTGTATGTTCTGCCATGTCTGTGGATGTGACTAGAAACCTCCTCGTATTAGCAATAGGACTTCCTTGGTCTGCCATGTACACCATGAAACCAGATGGAGAAGGATACAAACTCTTGTTTAACATTAGCCAACCATCAGGGGATAGATATGACTTTCCAACTGCTTTGGCCATGGATCTCGAACGCGATTTCGTTTATATGTGTTTACGGAACAAAATCCTTTCAGCAGACTTGAATGGAAAAATTAGGAACGTGTTATTCCAGGGGTCTTCTTTGCAAAGTATAGACTTTGACCCAATAGAAGATGTGGTGTATATCGGTAAGCAACGTGATGTACTTCGAATATCCTTGATGACAAACAACATACTGAAAATAGCTTCGTTTAAGACACCTGTGTTTTTCTTGTTGTACTATGATAACCAGATATATGCAAGCCTCTATTTTCTTGACTCATTAGTCACTGCCAGCGTACAGAATAAGAAGCAAGAATTTCATATACTTACGATAAAAAGGAACCCCAAGCCGATAATATTGTGTCGCATTGTGTAGGTAGGTGTCCCTGACAACACGGAATAATTCATACAAATCGGTAACATATGTTTTTAACCTGTTTTGAATAAAATTCATGTTCATATGACCTGTTCTCCTTCTCTTCCTGTCCACTTGCGTTGTGTTTCTGAATGAGTGAGCTCAGTTTAACGCCACTTTGACTACTATTGCAGTTACTACTACGAGTGTTTGCCGTCTTGTAGGTTAGGACCATAGTTTGATTCTCAGAATGTTTCAAGAAAGTAAAAGCACACAAGCTTTTCCACAATCAGGAATTATCTGCTAAAAACAATGTCCATGGTACTATTCCTGGGCCCACTTGCACAGAGAAATTTTAATTATAATGGATGTTAGGCTTGGATTTAAGATCGGGATCCTAGCTAAGATTGAAATCTCAACGGTGGGGGTACGAATATCTTAAACTTGACCTCTGTCTATAGTTGTCTACAAACGCGCATGGCTTGCTGCGTATGCGAACTGTAAAACAGGTTACGATGCAACACTGTTATATGGCAGTATGTCCCTAAGGCATTCGTCGCTTGATGACTTCACTGTCAAGAATCGATTCCAGAGATGCAAAGTACGCAAGTACCGGTCCTCATTGGGCCTAGTTACCCTGGTTCTGCCAGTTCGTGGCCTGCCT